ATGTTTTCTCATACCTCCCCCTTGTCTACCTAGTGGTATTGGAGAACCATTGTTAGAGACAGTTTTTTCCACATTGTCCCAAAACATACTGGGCATTTTTAGATATGTCCTGTAAGTTCTCACATAATGTCATCAAATTCTTGGAAACTGGCTATGAGAGGAACATGTGAGGAAAACAGGTCCTTGAATAATGCCATTTTCTTCATTGTTGGTCAGGATTATTGTGTTCCTTATCAATATTATAATGAAACTATATGGAGCAAAATGACTTAATCAGTACATAAATGTAATTAAATTTTGTACTTTCAGATCCATGAGGTTCTTGTGTAACAGTTTTATAGGAATACACTTCTTTATGTTATCAAGGGGTCTCAGCCATGCTGTTGTCATTGTGAACTTCATCATTATCCACTGAATTTTATTTTTCAATCCAGCAGAAGCAGTAGCCACACAGTGTCCTTTCCTTGACTGCCAACTTCTAGCCTGCTTGTCTGCCTCATCATCCTTCTCAACATTCCTCTGGCCTTTCTAGATTGCGTCTTCTGTTTCTGTGACCCATGTATTTCTCTTTCTTGTTAATTATTTTTAAAAAGATTTATTTATTTATGCATACAAGACTGGGGTACAGGCCAGAGGTGCTGGGGCGGGGGTGGTGATGGTGAGAGGATTCGCCAGAGACAGAGCGGGGAACAGTACAGGCAGATTGACTGAAATACACTGCTGAGGGGAGCAGTGGGAGAGTCAGGAGAGGTGTGCTGCGCCATGTGGGTTTCTCCCTGGCCAGGGATCGAACTTGTGCTGCGAATAGCTTGGTTGCGTCTTAACCCCTTGCACCACCAGGGAGGCCCTCTTTCTTGTTAATTTTGATAGAACACAAGTTTGTCTTATATTTATCTCCCTCCTTCCTGAGAAGGTTAATGGAAAAGTAAGTTTTGAGTTCTTGTATCTGAAAATATTCTTCCGTACTTGTGCTTGATTGATAGTTTGGCTGGGCATAAACATATGGGTTGAAATTATTTTCCTTAGAATTTTGGAGTCTTACTCCAATGTCTTACATTATCAGTGTTGTTCTTAAGATTTTGAAGCTATTCTGATAGCTGATTCCTTGTAGATGGTCTTACCTAAAAAAAAAAAAAAAAAAAAATCTCTGGAATTGTTTAGAAACTTCTTTGTCCTCATTGTTCAGAAATTTTACCATGCTATACCTTGGTATGGATCTGTTTCCACTCTTTTGGATATTTGAGGAATCTGTTTGATCTGCAAGTTTATGTCCTTACCTAGGAAATTTTCTGTAATTTTTTTCTAATTTCTTTTCCTTAGATTTCTCTATTTCTTTCCCCTCTGCATATTCTTTTTTTTTTTTTTTAAAGAAAGATTATCTTGTTTTTTCATTTTGGTGTAAAATCTTGTATCTTTGAGGCAAAATTTTAAAAAATCTACCCCTCTTTAACAAGTTGCTATTTTCTTCTTTTAGTTGTTATCTTTAATAGTAGAAATTAGATCTCTCACAATAGATAGTTCTTTATTCATGATTAAGAGTAGGGATTAAAAAGCTTTTTTTAATCTCTGAGCATATAGGGTTTTTTTTTTTTGTTTATTTTCTTTTTTACTTTGAGTTTCACTATAGGGTGATCTGGCCATTGTTGAGGTATTCTATTTGTCAGGATCTTAGACGGTCAGGTTTGCCAGGGGAGAATCTTTTCATCTGGATGGACTGGGTGAGGCCATCATTCTCAGCATTTGGCGTTCAATACGCTTAATTTAGTCTTTTATTTTTAGTAAGGTGGCCTGCTGTTCAACTGTACTCTCCCTTTCCAGAAATTATTTACTTTACATTCTTCAGAGATTAAATCTCAAGACTCCTTTTGAGAAGGGGATTGGGCTATCACTCAGCAGCTTGGAATAGAAGAGGGGAATTAAGAATTAACTGCTTTTCAAAGAATTTTCACTCAGTCCTCTTTGCTGCTTCCCCTTCCCATCATTAAGCTTTTACCCAATTCTAGGGACAACAGGTGATGTTAGTTCTAAAGCATTGGCGGAATTCTGTGGTATAAATAGAATTCTTTTTCATGAAGTTTCACCCCAGATGGCAGCAAGGATGGTGAATAGGTGGCCAGGAACCTCACACTGGCAAAGAGGTCGGTGCAGTTTACATTTTCCCTTGGTGCCTCGGCATCAATTTGTCCCAGTGGTTTGTTTTTTTCAGTTTTCCAAATTGTTCAATTAGGGTTTGACTGTCTTTTGCCTGCTAAGTGAATACCATTCATCTTTTTAGTTTCCATGTTCTAACTTTGCCTCTATGTGTGTCAGTTTATGCACCACCTTAGATTTGCTCATCTCCACCAGGCCCCTGGGCCTCCTCCACTTGTTCAGAATGGAGCCCTAGAGGTAGCCACTGCCTAATTGTGGCTGCTACCTAATGGAGCCCTAGAGGTGGCCACTGTCTCCTAATTCTGCTGACTCACTGAAAGTCATGCTTTTGCACAAACTGCATTGTGTCTGCTGCCATTGAGTCCAGGTGATTTTGTTCCTCCTGATTCAAAGGAAACAAGGCAGCAGGGAGTAGGCCCTTGCTTCATCATCTACTGCTGCAAGGTGACTGGGTTCCATAACTGAGAAGTATCTTGTGGAGGGGGGGAGGGAACAAATGTCAGGGCCCTACTTGACCAGTGAGAGACTTTAGATGGGAAAGTGGAACTTTTTCTAGGAACAGGGTTCCACGAGTCCTACCTGGATGTGTCCTGAGTAATGGAGCAATTGTGTATGTTTTCTGTGAAGCTAGGACCAGTTTGACAGTACATCAATCTTGCATTTGCCTCTTTTCTTTCCCTTTCTTCTCTTACTACTTAAGGATCATATCCCTCAGTAATGTGCGAGTAAGTAAGTATCACCTCAGGCTATTTTTGAAGGAATCCTGGCTCAGCTGCCATATTGGTGGTGTATGTGGAAAACAAAACAAAAACAAAAAACCCTTGGGGAATGAGCAAAATTCAAACATGCTAATTTAGTTCTGCCATCTCAGAATTTAACTTTGAGATATATAATATATATTCACCTAAATCAGGGTTGATGAAACAGTTTTACAAGCTTTTTTGTCCTAGCTACATAATGTTTTTTAATCACATAAATTTTTAATGTGGAATTTTATCAAAGGCTTTTGTTGTACATGTAGAAGTGAATTTTTTCCTTTTCCATTGGCTTATATAAATAGAATTCTTAATACTTATCTACTTTTGCTGGGGTAAAACTTTCTTTATTCTAGTATATTACTCTTTTAAAGTTCTATAAGATTATTTTTTAGAAAGATTTATTTATTTATGCATACAAGAGCTGGGGTACAGGCCAGAGGTGCAGGGAGGGGGTGAAAGGATTCATCAGAGACAGAATGGGAGCAGAACAGGTGGATCTACTGAAATACACTGCTGAGGGGAGCAGCAGGTGAGAGAGGAGAGGTCTGCTGTGCCATGTGGGTTAGCTACTTGGCTGGGGATTGAACTCATGCTGCAGTGGCAGCTGATAGCTTCATAGTGCTGTGACTTAACCCCTTGTGCCATCAGGGAGGCTCCAAGATTCTTTTTTAATAGCACTTTTATTAGGATTTGTGCTAAAATTTGTAAATGCTGCTGTGCTAAATTTTTCTTTCTTATGAATATAATTTTGTTAGATTTACTATCACTTTATGCTTACTTTAGATTAGTTTTTGATTAACCAAAAATATAGCAAACATTTATGAATCCATTATCACCATGAGATAAGAACAATGTTTTTTTTTTTTTTTATAGAGGCATGTTTTTTTTATTTATTTATTTGTTTGTTTGTTCATTTTGTTTATACATGCACTGGGCACAGTCAGAAGCGCGGGTGGGTGAGAGAATTCACCAGAGCCAGAGCGGGGAGCAGAGCAGGCAGAAGGACCGAAGTACACTGCTGAGGGGAGCAGCGGGCGGCAGGAGAGGTCTGCGCGCCATGTGGGACCCTCCTCCGGTGGCCGGGGAGCAGCCGGGGATCGAACCGGCGCCGCAGAGGTCGCCGGCAGCCTCGCAACCCAGAGCTCAACCGCTGCGCCACCGGGGAGGCCCTAGATAAGAACAATGTTAAGAACAACTTACATCTTCCAACAAACTTACAATCTACTCCCATCCCTTCCTTTACTTGTAGTTAATAGCCATGTGATTTGTGTTTATCATTTTTTTGTGTGTATGTGGGTTACATACTCATATGTATGTATTTAGTTTTTAACTAGTTTTAGCTTTTAACTCTATAAAATGATATGTTCGGGGATATGCTTTTTTTTAAAAAAAAATCTTTTGCGGGCCTCCCTGGTGGCGCAGCGGTTGAGCGCTCGGTTGCGAAGCTGCCCGCAGCCTCCTCAGCATTGGTTCCATCCCCGGCTGCCGGCAAGGGTCCCACATGGCGCGCAGACCTCTCCTGCCACCCACTGCTCCCCTCAGCAGTGTACTTCGGTCCTTCTGCCTGCTCTGCTCCCCGCTCTGGCTCTGGTGAATTCTCTCACCTTCCCGCGCCTCTGACTGTACCCAGTGCTTGTATAAATAAATAAATCTTTAAAAAAAAATTCTTTCGCTAGGGTCCATCCATACTTGCTCAATAGTCAACAAATATTTACTAAAGGCTAATCAAATTAATTTGTATATTGGGGCTCACAAAATGGAGTCTGCCCCTGTGGCCTGGCCCATGTCAATTTTTTGACAAGAATACTTTATGAGTAACTAAGTCTTAGTTCTTACTCCTGGTTACTTAGTTCTTACTCCTGTAATGCCTGGTTATCATTCTTTTTACGAATGATAGCAGCTTTGGTGCGATTTAGATTAACTTACTAGGGGGTTACAAATGATGATATGCTAGCGTTTTCCAGTTTTCTTACTTCATTAGCTAGAATGTTTCTGTTACAAGAATATTACTTTCATTAACTCTTTTATTATCCAAAGGTGCAATTCTTAGAGGAAAGGATAAATGCTTTGCTTCTTTGCCTTTATTTACAGGTTTTCAAAGCCAGAGCATGGATTCCTTAGCGCTTACCAAAGGTGACTAACAAGAGTGTGGTGGATCCTCTTGGTTCCCTATCCAGATCCCTTCCCGGACTGAGTACCCACCCTCCTGTGGTGAGTCCTGCAGAATTGTTCTCAGGCAAATGGCAGTGGGCTGGCCTGGAAGGCAGCCATCCTACAGTGACTGTGAGTGCTGCAGACCAAATGGATGTGTCTCCCAAGATTCATATGTTAAATTCTAATGCCAAATGTGATATTTGTAGTGTAGAGCTCTCATGAATGAGATCAGACCACTTATCAGAGACCCCCAAAAGTTCCCTCCCTCCCTTCTATCATGTATGGCCCTCAGCAGAATCAGATCATGCAAGCATCTTGCAGCCTCCAGAACTATGAGAAATATATTTCTGTTGTTTCTAAGCCACCAGCCTGTGGTCTTCTGTAATAGCAGCTGAATGGAATAAGTCAGATTGACTCAAGTGAGGTTCCAAATGACTTTGAACCCTGCCTTAAGGTTGGAGAGGGGAGGAGTCCCTACTCTGTGGTATGATTCACTCTCCAGGGGCCAAGCTGGAGCTAATCCCTAATACTTGGTGCTGGCAGCCCCCAGGGTCTCAACATAACCGAGTGCAGGTGGTCTGCTTAACTTTCCAAAGGAAATGGAAGTGATTACCAGAATGGGCAGCCAGGATGGAATGGTAGCCAGGAGTATTGACTCATGGTGATCTGTGGAAATGACTAATAAAATAGGGTGTTTCTAGGGACAGTGATATAGAATTCCTATTGGCAATCAAGAGAGTATTGCTTAATAGATATAATCAGAAGAAATCAAGAAAAGCTAAACAGAAAGCTGGACCAGCTTGGTCCCTGCCTCTCACATGGAAAGCCATAATTCTTAACCCAATCTCTCTATGTCACCCGTGTACAAACCCAAACTCCATGGACAGGAGAGGCCAAATGACTATCAGGTGGTTCCTGAAGTCATTTCAGTAATACTTAGCACCAATGCAAAAGAGAAATACTCATGTCTTTCAGGGGCTCTAGAGTCTAAGTTGACATTGTTGCCTGGGACCAGCTCCATCATGGGAAACCCACGTCCCGTGTTAGTGTAGACTCTGTAGTTCAGGTCACAAAGATGGAGCTGAATGGAGAGAAGAGTGGCCCCTTAGGGGCCCAAGGATCAAAGGACTGAAGCTGAGTCCAAAGCTTCCTGGCAGTGGAATTGACCTCTCTATGAGTTGTTCCTTTACCCATAAAATAAGGTTCATGCTTCATGCCTGGTCCATTTTTTTTTTAAAGATTTATTTTATTTATGCATACAAGTGCTGGGGTTCAGGCCAGGGATGCAGGGGTGTGAGAGGATTCACCAGAGACAGAGTGGGGAGCTGAACAGGCGGATTGACTGAAATACACTGCTGAAGGGAGAAGCAGGCAAGGCAGGAGAGGTCTGCTGCGCCGTGTGGGTAGCTCCCTGGCCAGCGATTTAACTTGTGCTGCAGTGACTGCAGATAGCTTCATAGTGCTGAGAATTAACTCCTTGAGCCACCAGGGAGGCCCTGCCTTGTCCATTTTATAGGATTTTTGAGACATCAAGTGACATAGCAAGGGAGAGGGTATTTTATATTTGTCAAGTGCAACCCAAATGGAAGTTGTGATTATCAGTCCTTCCATGATGTTGCCTGTTCTTGAAATACACCTGAAGGCAAGCTGCTATTTTATCAATTTTATGTAACTTGATTTTAGGAGTGGATAAGACAGGGAAAAGTGAAACCTTTCACATTACTGGCACACCATATACTCCATCCTCCATTTCAAGACCCCAACATTGTAATATACTTTTTGTTAGCTTTTATGTGGCTGTAAGTTGAAACATTTTACTGTTTCCCTCTTTACCTTTCCTACTGGTTATCTCCATGTGTATTTGAAGTGCTTCCTCAAAGAACACATCAAGAACAAAGATTCTGCACTAATATTTCAATAAAGTATACTAACTTAGTTTGAGAATGGCCTTAGATTTACAGAAAAGTTGCAAGTATAGCATAGAGGCTTCCCTTAAATTCTGTATCAAGTTTCCCTGTTAAGATATTATATATATATATATATATATATATTTATATATGTATGTATAATATATATGTCACAATTTCTCCAAGTCCACAGGGTGAGGCAAAGGCAGACTTCAGCTCTAGGATGGCCAGGTCCATGTTGATGGTATACTAGCTCTGGAGAGCCCCTCCACAGTGTGGCAGCACCTATCACTGTCACTAACATGCTGCCTACTATGTACCATCTGTTCCAGCTCTAATCTCAGCACAGGACTCCTGTTATATTCCATCCAATCTTGACAAGCAAGTAAGAACATACAACTATTTTTGTCAATTATCAGAGTTTCTGGATTTTAAGAATTTGGACACACTAATAGGAAAAACCTTAGATCTTGGTGATAAATTCAATGATATGGCAAATCAATAGCCAGAAGGGCTCCCCCACCAAACCAGAAACCTTAGAACCCTAAATAGACGTCTAGATACCATGTGGATACGTACTGATTTATGTTCTGCACCTCATTTGATCAGCGACAATGGCATGCACCCTGCTATGTCACCTTCCTCACAGGATTGTCTGGGGGTTGGTTCTCATATTTCCTTCTCCAACACTATTCTCTGTCTGCTGATAGGATAGACCAAACAGAAAATTGTATTCCTTGCAGAAATACAAACACACTAGGAAGGAAAATCATGGTCATTTGTCATGTGTGGGTGAAACGTTGTCTCTCATTAGAACATTCACAGTTTAAAAACCATTCAATTTTTTTATAATTTTTTTAAAGATTTATTTTTTTATATTCCCCATACAATTGCACCCCCTCTTATTTTGACCCCAGTCCCTTCTCTCCCCACCCCCCCCCCATAGTGTGTCTCTGGTTTAAGGGTATAGACCAGAGGCGTGGGAGGGTGAGAGGATTCACCAGAGGCAGAGCAGGGAACAGAACAGGCAGATTGACGAAATACACTGCTGAGGGGAGCAGCGGGTGTGACAGGAGAGGTCTGCTTCACCATGTGGGACCCTTGCTGGCCGGCCGGCATTGAACTCACACTGCAGAGGCTGCAGACAGCTTCACAGCGCTGCGCTCAACTGCCTGCGCCACCAGGGGAGACCCAACCATTTGATTTTTGACATAGATCTGAACTCAGGTAACCACATGCATCCCTGCCTTCAATTCTTGTGAAGGTGCATTCAGGGCTTTCTCCCTTTTGCTTTCTTTCCTTTCTCCTTCTGTCCTAATTTTTTTCACTTTAGTTTTAGCCTCAAGTCTCCTGGGAAATCACTTTGTCCTATTTCAGGGGCACTGGGGTGTGAACTCAGAGATGTGACTTTTAATCATCATTCAAATGTTTTTCTTCGAATTTAACTTGATTCACCAGGCATCTTTTCCATTTCATGTAGGCTAAGTGTGGATGCAAAACAAAAGGATAGGGACTCCCCTGGTGGCGCAGGCAGTTGAGCACCACGCTGTGAAGCTGTCCGCAGCCTCTGCAGCGCCAGTTCCATCTCGGTAGGCCGGTGAGGGTCCCACGTGGCGCAACAGACCTCTCCTGTTGTGCCAGCTGCTCCCCTCAGCAGTGTGTTTCGTCAGTCTGCCAGTTCTGTTCCCCACTCTGTCTCTGGTGAATCCTCTCACCCTCCCGCGAATCTGGCCTGTACCCCGCTTCTTGTATAAATAAATAAATAAATCTTTAAAAAACAAACAAACAAACAAAAAAGAAAAAGTATAAAGTTGCCAGCACCCTGACTCTGAAATCTGATTTCACCTGCAGGCCTATGGGTGATGTCCTTTAAAAATGAATGCTTTCTGGTTAACTAGGGAATTGGCCACACACCCCTGTGCATTTCTCAACTGTTAAAATGCTGATGTTTGCTCCTATACTGATGCTGATTGGAATTTAAGATAATGAACTTGGGGGAAGAAGGAGAAGTGTTTGGTAAGGTGGGTTGTTTTCAGAAAAGGTGGGCAGGCTCTTTATCCTTTACAGAGTCCACCTAATCATTCCTTTGAAAAGATAATGGAGATCACCCTGGCTCTCTGCTCAGCACCTTCTGTGAACCTTAACCTGCTCCCTGTGCCATCTCTTCCTTGTCTCTCTATTATGTTTCTCCATGTTTCTGATCGATAACTCAGCTTTCCCTGTTCCTATATGAATTTTGCATGAGAAAGTGAAAAATGCTCTCTTTGACCTCTTCCTACTCTTCCTTTCCCCTTCATTTTATTATCTTCTGCTGTTGTGTGCTGTTGCCTGCAAGTTTACACACCCAAGTTGTAACAGGAGGTAGTTTCTAAATATAATCAACATTAGATCTTTGACTTTCCATTAAGTTATTCTTCATGTTTGCTGTTGCGTCCCTTTGGCTTACCCTGTGATTGTAAATAGCATAGGTTTGATTTCTAAAGTTCATATTAGAAGTTAATCCCTTGGTTTTTTCCCTTGGCATTTCCAAAGGCAGGAAAGAATTTCCCACCTCTGGAGTCCTACTTTGTTGCAGGTAAAGAATTTAGCAGCTATGGGAGTGATAATTAGAGCCAGTAATGATTTGACTGACCCACCCCAGGCACTTAATTGTACAGCAAATCTCTCTTTCATGTTGTAAGATAGTTAGAAGTCCTGTGGGTTAGAAGTCATGGCCTCAAAGTCAGTGATAAGGCCATTTAGCCCAAGTGAACTTTGCACATAAAGATATATGTAGTGAGCTTTAAGAATTATTTTGAAAGAGTTTTAAAATAACTTCCCTGTTATATATTGGCATGAAGAGGCAGTTCAGAAGCTGATGATCTGTTTTGGCTCTAGTGTGGCAGGACATGTTGGAGACCCTTGGGGTCTGAGGGGGAGCACAGTGGTGTTCTCGTAGAACATCCCACAGGGGACATGTGTAACAGTTGTGTGCTTACTGTCTGGTGTGCACAGAAAGTCAGACAGGGCTACACGGATTTGGTTATCATGGAAAGAGCTTTATTGTGAGGCCAAGCAAGGAGGTAGGAGTGTGGCTCAGATCCATTTCCCTGCCCGTGATGGGGCTCAGGTCTTTAAAGGCAAGGAGAAGTCAGGGCTGGTCACGGACAG